GAATTTTTCGAAAGTATACGGTATATCAATCACGGATACTCCTAGTCTCCTTGGAACCGTATTATTCGCTACTGTACTACTATAGTTCATCTGTTCAAAGTTCAACATTTGAACTTAGACTGCATACCTCTTATTGGAACATCGGATATAGATACGAGTTGAAATGTGACTGACTACGCTGTACCTACCTACCATTGATCATGAATTACAAGTTTTACAAATACCTATACCCCTACTTCGCTTCTCTCATTACACTATACTGTACTCCCTTATAGCCATTTACTAGCGATAGCGAAATATATTTATCATTGGACATAACATACACTCGAGTACTACCATTTACCGGCTTAATATAGGTAATAAAATCATAAGGCTGAGACTTGCTTGCTTACTTACTTGCTCGCTAGCTCGTTCGCTAGCTTATGCAACAGTGAAGTGAAACAAAACGAAATGCTACAGGAAGCGAGATACTAGCGAGAGCGAGCAAGGCTGAGTACAGTAACTGCTAAATGGGATACCGGTAATTGGATAACGCTGGTCTGGCTTTGGCGGCTTCGCTTGTTGGTGTTTGGAGGGAGAGATGAGATTCATGGGATGGGATGGACCCATTCTCACGAGGATTCAAGGGTTCGTTCAAGGGTTCATGGAATTACAGAGTACGGTGGTTTCGGTAGCGAGGTACAACTTGGTTTACTGGGGACGGATGGGATGGGATGGGAGATGGGATGGGATACTGTATATTCCGTACGTACCGTTAGACTTCAGTAAAGACTTTTGTTCCCCCTCCGAACCAAAACAATAAATGCTTTGTTAATTCCAAACCTCAAACTCCAGATAACATACAATAAAGAAAACCCCCATCCATTCCATTCATCTGATTACAAACTCCGCCCAAGACTAGGTACAATAGGTAAATCGGTACTGTATATGATTCATCATCCTCGCATCCTCACAAATCATCTCGTCTCATTTATCTCCGTTGTTCCTCCCAGAACCAATCTCCGCTTACATATCATATTTATTCGGCCGAATGAATATTTCATTCCCTTTTTTAAAGATCGATCTACACTTAGTATTATTACACTAGTGAAGTCTTTTTAAGATGAAATTAAGGTTGATGGGATTTGTGATTATCATGGACGGAGCTGGGATTATGTTAAAGGCCGTGTCTGTTGTTCCCAACTTCCCTATGATGGTAGAGGCTTAGGCTTATTTCAGGTTTTTACTGTATTGTATTAGAAGTTCTAGAATTAATGATTGCCTAATACAGATAGGTGCCTAGATTGAGTCATCAATCGATACACAGTATAGTACTCGTATACCGTACTCCGTATGAGTCTTCAAAGTTCAAATTCATTCACAAAGGAGTTATCGGCCGAATTGACGGATGTATATTAGATATGTGGTGCATTATTCATTCATTCTAGATCTATTGCTCATTAAAGGTTCTTCATACCATACTAGGTACATACCATGATACTATGTATGACTGTACGGCGTATCGACGACTCGAGGACTCAATGGGTAGATAGATTACCTCGTTAAGTCATTGATAGAATACCTATCTACCGAGCAGACATTGCGGCTGGTAAATAGAAAACTAGACCCATTTTCGCAAGAGAAAAAAAATATGTTCAAGAATTAAGTTAAGGATTTATGGGACCGACCTGACCGACTGATCAACCGACCGGCGATAGTGAAAAATAAGTACAGTATAAAAATGAAAATATGAGGGTATCATGAAGAAACTACCTAGCTAGCTAGGTAGCTAGCAATCGGATAGCGGTTAGTAAGGTCAAGCATGAAATTCATACCATACCTGGCTGGCTGGCATACCAATGTGGAGCTGTCAGGTTCATCGTTCATCATTCATGTTCATCATTTTCATTCATACAATTGCCCGAAATTTGTAGGTGGGTACATAAGGTTACTGCACCGCATTATCCGCCTTATGATTTGGCTTGTGCTTGTGCTTTGGAGATTTGGATGGGATGGAATGGGGCATGGATGGGGCATGTCAATGAAATCAAATGAGATAGGAAAAAATAAAAGAAAAATTAGATATTGAGGTGCGGCTGTTGCGGGGGGGGGGGGGGGTAGCTTGGATGGTTTGGATCATGGATGGCTGCTGGGACGAATATATGTACAAGGAGGAGGAGTTAGCCTAGTAGGTAGTAGATAGCCGAATATGCAGAGCATTTTGAGGGTAACTGTATCTTAAGGGTATAATTCAATTATTTCATACTCGATGCTGTATATGTATTGTGACTTGTGACTACAACCCTGTCTGATTCGCATACCTAGATAGTTAAATTGCATACTTGTGAATTATAAGTCGTCCACTAAACTCGCTACTTACAAAGTTAAATACTTAAATCGAAGACTACCTAACCTTACCTATTATAATATGCAGCTTGCTTGCTTGCTTGCTTGCTTGGCAGTCAGTCAGTCAGTCGGAGACATACCGGTACATGCATGTATACGCGGGAAACTCGGTGTCAAGTCAGTCGAGTCGGTGAACGACATGATAATGCATACATACCCTACAAGTAACTAAGTCGCATATATACTCGCATTCTCGGATAAATAACAAGACAGACAGACCCCCCAAGCCTTGTGAGGGTGCGTGCAGCAAAGCAAAGATTAAATGAACTTTGATGAAGAGGTGCAGAAAGGCGGAGATCTCGATATATGGGGTTGTTGTTGTACCTCAGTGAGTCCTGACTGTACGGTACAGTGCTGAGTGCTGAGTGCACAATATATTCTGTGTGATATGATATATATGCAGGATACGTTACGTTACTTATTACTTACTTGAGCCAGAGGAGTAGGGAGAGGGGGGGGAGCGAGGGAGGGGCACCGTGTGATGTTTTTGTTTGTGTACTGTATGGGTTTTTGCTCTTTTGCTGCAGTAGGTAGGTACCTACTGTACCAAGATGGATGTATGTGTTTCGCTAGTAATGCGCAATAAGATATACTCTGATCCGATAGGTTTTTGAAGATATTAATTCAGGTTGCCAAGTAATAACATCAAAGTGAAGTGTTAGAGACTAGAGGCTCGGATTCGGATTCGTGGCAGTTTCGTGGACTTTTTTTTTGGACACGTTTTATGAAATTCAATTGAGAGGTGAAGAAGGGTGAGATCAACCGATTGTGGGTTTGGGGGTTTGATGAACTACATGTGGAAGGGCTGGGTTGTATGATATGGATATGGGGCATTTGGGGTTGATATTGTACATTGTACATTGTACAGATTCCATACGTTATATATTCTGGACACCGGGTTAGTAAATCTATGGGGTTTCTGTGGGTAATGATTAAAATCCTTTACCGCGTATTATGTATTCGTATATCGTATCGATCACGCGCAAGACATTTTGAAGGGTAGGTAGGTAGGTGGTCGTTATTGTCAGATGCATGCACTCAATAACCTGAAACCGATGATGATTTTGTTAAGTTCTTGATTTTATTTTCTTTGAGGATCTAAATTTTAATTAATTAATTTGATGCTTGATTTGATGATGCATGCGTTAGAGATAGATAGATAACTTGTATCTAGATCTTCAAAGAATTGATAATCCGTGGAGAAGAGAAATGGTGCGTGCCATGGATTGATTTGTAATAAGATATGATATACGTACGGGTAACAAATGGAAGAAAGAAGATAAATGTCAATACAGTTAATACTAGGTAGATTAGATAGATAGATACCTAGATACCTTAGATGGATAAACCAAGAGAACACTTACAAATATCTAGGTAACCAAGAGAATAATCCATACTCGGCATCTTGGATATTCATCTTCTCCGGCTTTATATATTCCTTTCAAGTTCTTTCTCACTCTCTCATATCCAAATCATTCAAATTTATATAGTAGAGATACGAATCGGAGTTTATTATTGTTGGATTAGTCAATAAATTCATTTAGTAAGCTAGAATTACTAGAATTACTATTTCAGTAGGAAATCGTAAAACCGGACCTATCAAATTCATTATGAAATTACCTTATTCGTCTTAATCAATTTATTTTCTTTATTTCGCATTTCTAATTGTTTTTCTCGCTTTCTCAGCAAAGATCCCGTTCTTATCCATCGGCTGAAAGGAAATCTTACCGCTGCGGACTTTTCTAAAAAGCTACGAAGGCTTTACCTACGAAGGATATTACTAGGATTAGTTTAGTGTCATGGTCATAATAATTGTAATCAACGAAAAGCCTTACATCCATCACAACTCCGTTTTGTCCGGATCACGGTCTTATGAATCAGCCCTTAATGGGGTTTTTTATGTCGTTTACTTATTTACATATCCATTTACGAACAAAATCATCTGAATACAAAGACTGCCCGAATTCCCTCCTCATGATCAATATTAATTCTTCCTAATCATCCTCATCATCAATCATTCATTATAATAACTTTATAAGAATATCTTTTAACTCCAACTCAAAAAATCAATCAACCTCAAGAATCTTTTCTTCAAGAAGTCATTAGTCAACATTCAACATTCAGTATTACCTACCACCACCTTACTGCACTCAAAAAGCCATACATTCATATCCCGGTTATCAATACATATCAATATTATATCAGTCACCGATCCTCGGCTCTCGTTTAAAAAAAAAAGAAGCGTTGCCTTGAGTCATTCAATTCAATACATTGCAGCATAAGATTAATACAAAATGTCGACCTTTTCCAAAAGTCCTCTTTCCTCCCAAACACCTCAACCACAATCACCATCACCATTATCACCATTGAAGAAAAAGAAGATGTCTATTACTCAAACTTATTACCTTGCCCACACTGCTCGAGGTAAGCTTTCTTCTGAAGCTTCCCGAGCAGATCACAACCTTCGTCTTCTCGTCGGACACGCAAACCTTCTCGATTCATTAATGCTTGAGCTTGCCGAAGCTGAGCAAGAGCAAGAGACTTGGTTCAACCAATCCGTACGAAAGGCCACCAAGCAAGAAGATCCCAAACACATCCAATGGGCCGATACCGTGGTCGAAGAACCCGAAGAGGATTGGGAAACATCCGACCTCGATAACGATGACTCCTCAGATTCCGGCAGCGATTACGACTCGGATGAAGAAATGGAAGAGCCATCCTTGGGTTCAATAACTCGCATGTCATCACACAACATGGTTGATCCAGTCGTAGTCTCCACACGAGAAATCGACGAGGACGATGAAGAGGAATTCCAAGATGATGACGAAGATTACCCAAGTCTCCAACTCACTAAAACCAAATCACACTCAGCATCCCACCCCCCAGAACTCGATCACGATTCCGATGACTCCTCGGAAGATGAATCCATGCCACCCTCTCCCCCATCCGATACCTTCCCCAGCTTCTCGGAAAAACAACCAATCGCTTCATCCTCCTATTACAGCAAATCTACCCCCTCCTCCTCGATACCACAATCCGAACAACAAACCTTCTTCGACGAAGGTTTCTATCTACCCCCTCGACAATCCACGGGTTTAATAAGTGCTATTAGCGTTTATTAAACGCTTCTTTCTTGGGGATTGATCAATAAGGTTTCGGGTTGTATATTACAAAAAACATATAATGGGATTTGGGATTTGAGCGAATTGGCGCGAATACATGACGAGCGGGCATGGCATGGGAGTTTTGGGTCGGGCATTCATTTCATGTTATGGGCAT